CTGAGCCCTGAACTCAGGAAGAAACTCGTTCAATTTCTTATCAATAACATCGATTGTTTCGCCCGGTCCCATTTAGATATAACAGGGATCCCGCCGGACATAACGACGCATCAGNCAAACAGTGACTCCAACCCAGCCTGACAGCCAGAAAGTCAAAGAGAATGAAGACCAAAGGGTCCCTCGATCTTTCGTAACACCCGATGACTCTGATGCCATAAAATCAACGATCGAGGAGCTAGAACAAGTCGTATTAATCGAGCGCCGGCCTGAGCAAAAGGTATACTTGGGAACGGGGCTGAGCCCTGAACTCAGGAAGAAACTCGTTCAATTTCTTATCAATAACATCGATTGTTTCGCCCGGTCCCATTTAGATATAACAGGGATCCCGCCGGACATAACGACGCATCAGCTACATCGACCAGGAATCCGTTCGAGGGCTCGAACCGGGATCGAGCTCGAGTCAAGATCACAAGTTCGAGCCGAAATCAAGCTCGAACCAAATCGAGGGTTCTAAGCAAGATCGGGCTCACAGACAAAAGCCGTTGTAATCCCACTAAAGGGAATCTTGACAGAAATTATGAAAAAACTGATTTATCATGGGTTTCCCACTGAATGTTTATTTTATTATGCTTGGAGCCAAAACCCCTTCACTATAAAAGGATTTGTTTATCATTTTTGTAAGGCATCCATTGGAAGACTTACACTATCACAAATTGTATTATCCCACCTACAAGCAAGAGTGATCTTTCTAGTTTCTTAGATTGATTCTATTTTTGTTAAATCCTAAATTTCACTGTTCATAATTGATTGGCATAGATTACGTTTTTCTCCAACCTATATTCATACTTTTATTTATCCTAGCATTCTGTATTAAGTTATACCACGTATCTTCGGAACTACGCATAAATTCAACTCTATCCCTTTTTTCGGGTAAACAAATATATAAAAGACAAACGAGGCCACAAAACTAAGTTCACGAGCATTCTCGCGAAATTCCTATTTTGCTTTTAACTGTAGTCTGTACATCCATCTATTTTAAGTTCATGAATTACATTTATGTTTTGTAAAGTTATGATAATTGAGACGGAAACGAGTGATTACCTCCTCAAGGAAAAGAAAATGAAGAGAATAGCAAGATGTCAATATGTCCTCGTCGCATACGGAAGACAAATGTAAAAGAACTACGACCACCAAAATATCTGAATCAATAGAGAATACATAACAATGGATTATGATAAAGTTTTATCTACTCAAAAACCAATTCGTTACCAAAATAAGAACATATACCAAAACATCTGAATCAATAGAGAATACATAACAATAGAGGATGATAAAATTTTATCATCTCAAAAACCAATTCGTTACCAAAATAAGAACCCCACCACAGGGTATCTTCTATACAAAACATGCCTCACCAATTTTCCGTTTGAACGTGCCTATACTATAAAAGTTCAGGTGTAAGATTCCCATTATTTTAATTATATACTACCAATATCTACTACTTTATAATACTGTTAGATGCAAAAAATTTCCATTTAGATCCGTAATACTTAATAGTCAACCATATCAAGCTGCAACAAATTTATTACTTACCAAACCTATCACAGTTAAGGTGAAGGTGCTTAGATGATGAGATCTCAGGTCCAACCTTCCATTGTAGTGTACTATTGTGTTTTGCTAGATGGTGTTTAAGTTTGCATTAGCTACTAGCTAGTGTCGGGGAAATATTTTTGAATACGTCCAACCTTTTGACAGAAAAAAGCTAAAATCAATTTTATATATATCATGATAGAAATGACAATTATGTGCTAGAACAAACTTTGAGATTAGGTTACAACTTCACTCTACATCACTAAGGTTAGATGTAAGGTTCAAATCTTACTGTGTGTGTATCATTCTTCTTCCCCTCTACTCCAGCCCATCTTTTCCAGTATCCCCGAAAAAGTTTACATGAAGTAAAAGAGAAAAAAAGATCCAAAACAAACTCTCTTTCAGTGGCCCAACCGCGGCCCAAGCAATATGGCTTTATCCCAAATCCATATTTGCGTGGTTCCTTCTAAAATGGTCCATGAAAAGAGGACTTGAGATAAAAGCTTTACAAATAGTCACACACTCACTAGTCACATTACCCGCTTCTGCCTACGCTTTTTCTACTGTGAAAAATGGCGGGCGAAGAAAGTTCACCAGAATCCGCGACCGGTAACAAAAAGATGGACGAATTGGAAGGGCAATGGAGGCTATACGAGGCGTACAATGAGCTACACGGTTTAGCTCAGGAATTCGACACTCCATTTGATGCACCAGCAGTGCTGGTAGTGGGCCACCAGACGGACGGGAAAAGCGCACTGGTGGAGGCACTAATGGGCTTCCAATTCAACCACGTCGGTGGTGGAACCAAGACTCGTCGGCCCATTACTCTTCACATGAAATACAACCCTGAGTGTGACTCTCCCCTTTGCCATCTCTTGTCTGATTCTGACCCCTCTGTTTCTCATGAAAAATCTCTGCAAGAAATTCAGGTATTAAAATTGTTTATGTTGTTACCAATGCGTGTTGTATTTTGGCAGTCGTTGAGTAACTTCATATGCTGGTTAATACTCGCTAGTCGCTCCATCTCGTTTATGTCGCATTGGTGCATTTTGAAACTATTTAATCTTATCATTCCCATTTTTAGTTCAATGGCATGACTATTTTGGACTAGTTGATACTCCCACCGTTTTCCTTCCAATTTATGTGGCGTTGGCACGGAATTTAATCTAAAAAGATGGTCACAATTGGTGCATTTTCCTTTCAGTTTATGTGACATTGGCACGGAGTTTAAGAAAGAAATAAAAACTTTGAAACTTATGGTCTTAAACGTGCCATTAACTTTTGTGTCACTATAATAGCTTCGCATTAAGGGTAACATATGAAGTTTAAAGTCAAGATTTTCCAAATATAGAATTGTGTCATTCGTTTTGGAAAGGACTAATATGAAATAATGTCACAAAAACTGAAACGGAGTATAAAAGTTGAAGAAAAGTATGAAAGGACATGCTATTTAGTTAAGAGTTTAACTTATACAGACCGATGGTGTACACAAATTTTGCATTGTCAGCCAAAAGATAATGTATATGTAACCCTCCATAAAAGAGAGATTTATAATATTGAGAATAAGGCAAGTTACCTGCTATAATAGGTAAACTTGACCTAATAATGTAATTCTTTTTTATACTGTCGGTGTATATATATAGGTTGAACTTTGTAGTTAATGATAGTAAGGGAAATTTTGGTACTTTGCATATTATTTAGTTTATGTGTAAGACTGTAAGGTTTTTTCTTTAAACTTTGTGACTAGTCAGACACTGGGACAGAGGGAGTAAACTTTTACTGAATATATTGTCTTTTGTAGGCATATATTGAGGCTGAAAACATGAGGTTGGAGAAGGAAACATGCCAGTTTTCTGCAAAAGAGATAATCATTAGAATCGAATACAAATATTGCCCCAACCTTACTATCATTGACACTCCAGGACTTGTTGCTCCAGCACCTAGTCGGAAAAATCGGGCTTTACAGGTCAACTCTTGTGCCATCTTTTTAAAAATTGCGAAATATGGAAACACATAATTATTTGAATCTTGAGACCGTATACAATACAGGCTCAAGCTCGTGCAGTGGAGTCATTGGTGCGAGCAAAAATGCAGCATAGGGAATTCATTATATTGTGCCTGGAAGATTGTAATGATTGGAGCAATGCAACTACGAGGAGGGTTGTAATGCAGGTATTGCCTGTTTAATCCTAGTTTGTTACTTATAATTTTTGCTCCTGATAACTTGTAGCTTAAAGTTTGCACTATGTTTTGACTATATTATGAGATGTTCTGAAAATATTGAAGGTAATAACCCTTTATATATGCCAAACTGGTTGAAACAACTAAGATAGATGCTTTTCCATGTCACCTTGTAAACAAAGCATGTTCAGATGTTTGTGTGCTCTTGAGTCTTGTGTAGAAGCAGGGGCGGAGCTAGTAAGGGGAAGGGGGTTCAATTGCATCCCCTTTGTTAAAAAATTGTACTGTGTAAACATGGTAAAAATATATTGCTTGGTTAAATGTAAACTGTTGAATCCCCTTGACATAGGGGAAAAATCTAGTGTTATGGTAAAGGGTATTCAACAATTGCTTTGTATCAGAAGCTTAAATCCAATTTTGACATTCTAGTATTTTCTTGAGTCCTCTTTTAAAAATTCCTCGCTTTGCCACTAGTACATAGGCTTTACTTTTTCGGTATGTTGAACCTTATACAGATTGATCCTGAGCTTTCAAGGACTGTGGTTGTTGCAACGAAGCTTGATACGAAAATACCTCAGTTCGCACGAGCTTCTGATGTTGAAGTTTTCCTTTCACCACCAGCAAGTACACTTGATGGATTTATGTTGGGTGATTCTCCCTTTTTTACATCTGTTCCTTCTGGGAGAGTTGGTTTTGGACCTGAATCAGTTTTCAGATCCAATGATGAGTTCAAACAGGTTCAATTTCTAACCTCTCAAGCCCCATGTGCCATATGCCTTTTTTCTTTTTTCTACGAGAAGATCACCATAGTGGGGAAAAAGTTAGTTGAAATTTATACTACTGCTTCTTTCAGTGAAATACAAACAAGAAATACAAACAAACTGCATTTCAGTCTCGCTTCATTTTGGCGTTTCATAGAGTTAGTGAGTGTGACCGGGCTTTCCTCCAGTTAACAACTACTTGTCATGTGGTTGGGAATGCTAAGAGTAAAAAATCGATGAATAAGTATTTAGTAGAGATCTTGTGCTATTTCACCTTATGCCATTTGATAATTGATATTTTTTTTGTCTCTTTACAAAAGCAATGACCGGGAAAATTGACTTTCAGTTCCTTCATTGTATCAATAACATCGTCTATAGCAGAATATAGAACATATTGCACATCTGTGAATTAATGAGCTTGCCGTTGGTCAATTAACTAATCCAATAAAGAGCGCAAAAGCTCTTAATATGCAATTCCAACTATTTCTTCTAGAATACAGCAAGCATTTATGTTAAACCTGTGATGTGGCTTGTGTTACTTTGAAGAGATTCTCTAGGTATATTATCTACATTCATGTTGGTGTGATTTCCGTTCTGTGGTGCAATAACTTGAAAATCAGTAGAAAGAATGCATGTGGGATATTACATTCTGGAAAAACCCGTTAGTTCTGTATAACATAGTACTGATATCACAAATGCATGTTAGTGGGAAAAGGTCTTCTGCAATTTTTTGGTTTTATTTTTTGATAAAGTAGTTTTAGTAATGCGGTAGATCTCCTGTGTATGGTTCTCTACAAATGACACTCGATCTTCTATACAGGCAGAAATTTCATTGGTGCACTAAACGAAACTAAGAATAAAAGGCTTTTCCAAGTGTACAAAATCATTTTTGTCCCCGTAAAAGCTCTTTTATTTCTCTCTTTCCACAAAACCCACATGATGGCTAGTGGGGCAACATCCCAGGCCCTACGTCTTCTCTTCCTTCTTCTAGAGTTCCAGCAAATTCAGGGTTGTTGTATCACTTCAAGTGTATTACCTTATTGTAGGAGCTACTTAGATCCTGTATGAGCCTGAATCAATGAAAACATGACTTCATGAGCTAAAGGTGTACCATTATCATTAAATGAAAAGGAAAAATATGATAAGAATCTGTTTGACAGGTTTACCGTTATGATTCCATGTTGAAGGTAGATGAATAGAGCTAGGTTGCAATATCCTGTGGAATACATATTTACTGCTGCGATTGACAGGCTATTTCATCACGGGAGGTGGAAGATTTAGTAGCATTGGAGGAGAAGTTGGGCAGAGCACTTTCAAAGCACGAAAGAAGCAGAATAGGTGTTAGCAGCCTTAGGCTATTCTTGGAGGAGTTGCTCCTGAAAAGGTACAGTCTTTTTTCTTTTTGTTTTTTTTCTCCTTTTTTATATGCCTCAAGTCTTTCATTTATTTTTTCATTAGATTCTGAAACTTAACCTTCGAATGTATTGTTACGCAGGTACATGGACAGTGTGCCATCAATTATTCCCCTCCTCGAGAAAGAGTACCGGAGCAGCACTAGAAAGCTGAGTGAATTAGATCAACAACTCAGGTATGCAGCTACTCTTTTAGGCTGGATAATGAAGAAGGGATAATTTGACGTGGCAGTGATGAGTATTTCATTTTACGTCATAGAGGGATATATAATCATTGGTCCTGGCAAGAACATTTTATCCATCTCTGTAATCTTTATATACTTTTCCAATTTGATATCTATTTGTCTGTTCCAGCTCTTTGAATGAGGCAAAACTGAAGGAGAAAGGAAGAACTTTCCATGATCTATTTTTGACCAAGGTGTAAAGTTTTCCCCACACCACATATGCCTGAAATTCTATCTTCATTGCATAATATCTTTTTCTTTTTATGGATTGAGGGGAAAGATCGTCCTTCAACTGGTCCCCATGTAGTTTCTACACTAGTCGTGTTTCTTTTGCTTGCTTAATGGTTCTTACTGGTTCACATTTATCTTACCGTTAGCTCATTCTGAAAGTTAACTACGTCGTTTTGTTAGCTAGCCACCTGACTGAATTTTTGTTATTTCTCAGCTGTCACTGTTGTTGAAAGGAACAGTTATTGCACCACCAGACAAATTCGGTAAATAATGAAAGCTTGATATTTCTGATGTACAAAGACGCTGTATCTTTTGAAAGTTTTACCTGATGGTGCATTCAGTTTTAGCAAATGAAAATTTCTTTCTTGACATAAACCAAGAGTGACCATATGTTCTCTTCCATTTTTCTGCTCTCCAATGATCATTTATCTTTCTCTGGAGGTGATTCTTTTATCTGGAATTCATCGGAAGTTCAAATCATATTCTGCAAAGTAGTTTGCCTGCAGTTTTGCATCTTGGATTGCCATTTTCAAAAGATAGAAGATTTTAAATGTGTTGATTTTCAGCAACGAAGAAGGTTGGAAATGCATTAAACTGACTATATGGATTATTCAATTTCGAATGCCACCTTCTTCGTTTCTGTCCCCCTTATTCAGTTTAAGACCTAGTTTTTAGTTTTCAATATCCATAAACTTGACACTATTAGCTAAGTTCCATTTAGTTTTGATTTGATCGCTTTTCTAGCTTCTATGTTGTTGCCTCAAATTTCACTTTGTAGTTGGGTTTGAAAATGTTATTGTCTTGTCACTTTTGTTTCTACAACCGACTAATTCTTACCCAGAGAACAGGAAAATTACGTGTAATAACTATACCAGCTCGAAGACCAACTACTTCTACACCAAAATAAAACTATCACATCACAAAGTAACCATAAAATCTTAAAAGTCTTGTCGATCATGATCAAGGTCTAAAAAGAACATGTACGAGCAAATAAAACACACGATAGTTTACTATGAGGAGGCCAACTTAGTATAAGGAGTTAAAAAGTTCCCTGGATAGGGCTATAATTTAATTCACGTTGAATTGTGTGACCATCTTATCTAAAGGTTAAGTTGTTAGAGAGGGGGATTCATTTATTTCTTTGTGTTAGACACGTGCGGGTCTAATTCTTTTCACGAGTTAAGTACTTAGAAGTTTGTTTCAATAACGGGTGACAGCGTGACTTACCTTTGCTCGCTTTGAGATCATGTAAAAAGAATGGATCTTGGACTTAACCCTAGAAGTTAGCTCATGAGATGAGAATTATCCATGACCATATAAAGAGACATACAGTCCATACCCTCAACCAATGTGGAACTCACATGGTATTAGAGCCAGATTCATCCTTGATATCGAGTTACTCAAAGTTGGAACCCATGTTATTTTGTCCACTCTTCAGGTGTCCAATCCTGAGTGTGCACAGAGGGGTGAAGGTGGGGTGGGGGGTGCGGGAAGGGAGGGTGTTAGAGTTCTGAAGGTATGAGCCGTAGTATCTTTATATGGTCTTGGACAATCATTTCTTGATGAGCTAACTTTGAGGTTGAGTAAGCCCAAGATCCATTTTCTTTACAATTTTGTTGCAATAAGAATTTTGAAAATGACATTAAAAATAAAAATAAATAAAAAACATGCATAAAATAAGCAAGACCGGCCGGCTGCCATTGCACCATAGCCGATGGCTTAGACACTAGGATCAAGGCTCATGAGGGTGAGTACCGAGCAGAGAGTGCAGGGGCAGCAGCAGCAGCAGCAGCAGCAGCAGCAGCAGCAGCAGCAGCAGCAGCAGCAGCAGCAGCAGCAGCAGCAGCAGCAGCATGAAACAAAAACTGTAACTAAGAAGTCAAAGACCGAAAATCTGAAAGACTAAAGAAACAAAGTTAAAGAGGCAGAGTGAAATTACTGTATATAAAGGAAATGGAAACTTTCATCTAGGAAACCAAAGAAAGAAGTGGAGCAGGAAATAACAAAACCCTACTGGGCTGCTTGCCCCCTTAGTTATTCTATGCATATGCATGTGTGTCTGTAAACTCTGTATAGATGTATTATTCTATCTTATAATATTTTATTTGGGGTTTTCAGTATTGTAAGTAATTTAACAAGATGGAAAGTGAACCGTAACAACAGAGTGAAACTGACTGAATTAACCCAACTAAAAAAAGTGATTTTTGTGATTAAGTCAAAATGAAAAATTCTACTATTTTTGGAGGCAGAAGCCTACTTAGTATATGTTTCGGTTTCAGCAAACTCAACTCTGTGTTTGGGTGCAGGGGAAACCCTACAAGATGAGAGGGTCAATGGAGGGGCATTTATTGGATCTGATGGTCTTCAGTTCCCACACAAACTGATACCTGTAAGTGCTGCTCTATTTGTAAATTTTTATTTGTTTTTGATCCTGTGGTTAGGTGAAAAAAGAAAAGAGAACTTGGGATATGGATACTTGGACACTCAATGCACATGTGACAGCTGATTGAGGCACAACATATATTGTTATGCCGGTGATTCTTATATCCTAGAGGGGAGGTTGAGTCATTTAATTGGTTTCCGCAGTTGATTCTGATGGAAAGCATATTGCATACATTAAACCACATCATTTGTTCTGTAGGTGTTGTTTAAAACATTGAAACACTGGTTTAGCTGTTTCCTAGTTATATTAGATGCTGGATCCTAAGTTGTTCACACAAGTTTTCAACTTTTCTATTTTCATCTTCTAAGAGTATTTGTTTAAATTGAAAGCTGAAAGAGGATAGTTATTCACTTTCAACGTGTCTTTGATTTTCTGCTTACTAGCTATGTTATCGACTAAGACAAGTCTGGCTAGACTTCTTGTGAAACGCTTTATCGGGAGTTTCATCGAAATTGTTATCCGTTGCAGAATGCAGGCATGCGTCTTTATGGAGGTGCCCAATATCATCGTGCAATGGCTGAGTTTCGTTTTGTTGTTGGAGGAATTAAATGCCCTCCAATTACACGGGAAGAAATAGTGAATGCATGTGGAGTTGAAGACATTCATGATGGAACTAACTATTCTAGGTGCGTATACACTTGAAGACATGATTTACATTCTTGTCTAGGTTCGCCTTTTATTTTCTGATTCCTGTTCACTAATTTCTTGTTTCACCTTGTCTTGAAACATTGAGCATTTAGAACAGCCTGTGTAATTGCTGTTGCCAAGGCTCGTGATACATTTGAGCCTTTCCTTCATCAGGTAACTTAGTGTTGCGTTCGTTTTATTTTCTCAATCTGTTGTAATTACTTATTGTCATCTGTTATGCAGTTAAATCATGTGTAATTGATTTATGCTAGGTGGTGAAATTAACTCGACTCTCAGCTAAGTTTGATGTGGGGGTAGGGCAAATATGCTAAGTTTTATGTGAGAGATCGTATCTCAAAGAGAGTGGCATAGATTAGTTTTTTCGTCTAGAACATAAGATGTGAGAGTTATGAGTTACCAACAACAACAACAATAACAACCCAGAATAATCCCACTAGTGGGGTCTGGGGAGGGTAGTGTGTACGCAGACCTTACCCCTACCATGAGGTAGAGAGGCTGTTTCCAATAGACCCTCGACATCCTTCCCTCCAAGAACTCCCCACCTTGCTCTTGGGGTGACTCGAACTCACAACCTCTTGGTTGGAAGTGGAGGTTGCTTACCATCAGAGCAACCCCTCTTGTCTAAGGAGTAATGAGTTACCAAAAAAATAAAAATAAATAAGACGTTGGAGTAATGACTAATAATAGGTGAATAACTTGCACCAACTGAACAACTCTATCGACTACTGAGCTTTATTTGTACATTGGCACATTAAATTGAAGATGTTTATGCGTAGGCTATGTGTTGGGTTTTAAAAGACCCTTATCCGTCCACTTTTGAAATTTCTCTATTCTTATGCTACTCATACCTATGGTAGGTACAATAATTTCAATCTAACCCTCTCCTACCCATCATGTTATCCAGAACATGTGGGTAGAATTGGCAAGAATATTTGTAGTACAATGAAAAATGTCAGTGGGTCGAAAGTTATATCTAATGAAGTAAAATACCATATATACCTTGCAGGTAAGGTAGGCTACTTAGGTTGCGTAAATAAATCTTCACAGTACTCACTCATATTTGCACTGGCTACTTAAATAGCAATCATCACCATCCTCCTAACCCACCTCATTTTCAAAACACCCTCTCCATATGGGTAGAGTCCGTGTGGATATAGATCCCTAAATTAACTATAGCAGTCAGTTTCTCAAATAGTGCATGTACCCGAAAAAAGTTGGGACATGTAATGTAATATGAGCTGAAACTGAACTTAAGTTAGGGAGAGAAAGAGAACATGTGGCAAATTTTAATTGTCAGTCTTTTTGTGTCATAGCTTGTAAATAACATGTAATTCCCCACTATGAAAAATCCATTTTTAGTTGGAGATATTAGGAGTTGTGCTTCAGTTCTGATATGTTGCAAAATATTTTTTGATGACGTTAGCTCTAGAAAATTCTTCTGTAATTAAACTACTCTTCATTAGGCATGTTACAGATCTAAAATCTTCTAAGTAATTTTTCTTGCTTTTTATTGTCATTTCATTCTTCTTAACTCTACAGTATTTATGTAAGTTAACCAAGTTTGCCACCCTTTACATACAGTTGGGTTGCAGACTATTACACATTCTGAAACGGTTACTTCCAATTGCTGTTTATCTTCTTCAGGTACAAATCATTTTTGTATTGCTTGTTACCTGTTCTGTCCTTGCAATATTTGAAGATTCATGCAAGTAATGTCATCATGTTCCTCCGAAAACTAATGCTCTGATGTTTGACTTGTTTCCGCAGAAAGAAGGGGAATACCTGAGTGGCCATGATGTATTTCTGAGGCGTGTAGCAGATGCTTTCAACAATTTTGCAGAATCTACCGAAATATCATGTCGTGAAAAGTAAACGCTTTTCTGCATCTATACTCTCATGTTCAAATTAGCTTTTGCCAATTATTGTTGTGCAGAATAGCTTGTAGTGTTCATAAGGTTCCTTTGCTCCAACTATCTGGAAACCCAAATGATCCTACCCTTTTTTACTCTTTTAATTTTAGTTTCTATAAGTTGTTGGATGGTTATCATCGACTGTGTCCAAGATATCTGACTTCAACAATTGGCGACAAGTTGCGTGATTTTTTCTTCATCTNCCCCCCCCGGGTGGCGGAGGCAAGATCGTCACTAATGGGGTTCAAAATAAAAATAAATACACAAAGAAGCTAATGGGGTTTATTATCTAATATATGTACGTAAAAATAAAATTTGATCTTATATGCACAGTATAATTTTTCGACGAAGGGGGCCCCCCTTCTGCCCCTTAGCTCCACACATGCTCCCCCAGTTCTCTTTCTAACAGTTTTATTTTGTAACTATATGTTCCATAAACACAAGGCAATGTTAAATTTTGTATGTTTGAATAAAAGATTTTTCTTCGTAAGCTTCTTATCTCTGTTTTCTCTTTTGCTAATACCAGCATCTAAATTTCAGTCATTGTCATACTAAACTTTTGTGCTTCCAGATAACCCAGTGAGCTCAGAAGTTTATTAGAATGGCTTCACAACCATTCAAGATCTCTATCCTTTCAATTTTATATTAACCTAAGCGGGGCTGGTGCCCATTCTGCTTTCTTGGTTTTGTATCTACTAACCTTGTTGCAGCATGAAGTCTGAAACTTCATTTTCTCTTGCTCACAAAGGATACTTCTTGTGTGCGTTTTTGATATGCTAACCAAATGCTTTCAATTCAGCATTTGATTAATGTATAGTATTTTGTTATCTATACGTGTTCCAGGTGCATGGAGGATTTAGTGAGCACCACTCGCTACGTGACATGGTCCCTCCACAATAAGGTCTGCTTACTGCATAAAAATTAAAATTTACTAATCGTTGATCCATGAATTATACTCCATCTTTTACAGATCTTTGGGTTTGACAGTTGTTTGAATTGATGGGTTTAGTGAATGTATGAGGTAAACATAAAGTGGCGTCTTATCTAAGTTTTTCCTGTCTATTGATTTCTTTTTCCCCTCTGCCTGATCTTACTGAGTCCCTAGTGACTGCCATGCATCATTTGCTTTGGTAACAGCTTGTTCACTGTTTTCCTCCTATAAATCTTTGCTGGTCTAATATATCTGCATTTGTACTGTTTATCGTTTCAGAATCGGGCCGGATTACGTCAATTTCTAGATTCATTTGGTGGATCCGAACACTCTGCCATTATTGGTAATTCCACATCTACTGGTCTTTCTCAAGATTTGTCAACTGCATCTGTAGCCAGTGATAACAAGCAGGATGTTAAGGCCAGGACAGATGTAAAGCTTAGTCATTTGGCTTCAGGGAACGATTCAAATACGAGTACTCAGACAACAGAAACAAGACTAGCTGACCTTTTAGACAGCACGCTTTGGAACAGGAGGCTTGCTCCTTCTTCTGAAAGAATTGTTTATGCCTTGGTTCAACAAATATTTCATGGCATAAGAGAATATTTCTTGGCATCAACAGAACTAAAGGTACGTTTTTCTCAGCTGAACTAAATATTTCATGGCATAAGCTAAGGTGCTCAGACACGGAAGTTTAAGTGCCGCACCCGTACTAGGATCCGTATCTCCGAATCTTAGAATTTACAATTCAAAGGATCCGACCTCTAGATCCGCACCCGTGTCGGACACCCGCACCCGTGTTCGAGCAACTTAGGGCATAAGACAAATTTAATAGGGTGAGATCTGAATAATTTGGATAAGTTGTACACATTTTCAAATTTAGAAACACTATATCTTAATAATTATTCAGACATCTTAATCTTGAAACAAGAAAATGGAGCGTAGGCCTTAATCCAGATAATTGTTCATAATATCTTTCCATTAAATTTCTAGTCATATCACCATCTTGCGAACCAGACACCAACTTGGACCCCATCCTTAGAGGTCACGTCATCTTTTAAATAATGGAGCTATTCAATAATGTTTTTCATTTGCTTATTCGAAATCAATTCATGTTAAGTTGGTTGCTTCTGATTTCTCTTTTTGTTCGTATTCTAAGAAATTGTTGTTATCTGCAGTTCAACTGTTTTCTACTCATGCCTGTTGTTGACAAGCTGCCTGCAATGCTTCGTGAGGACTTAGAATCTGCTTTTGAAGATGATTTAGATAATGTTTTTGACATCACTAACCTACGGCATTCAGTAGGGCAGCAGAAACGGCAAACTGAAATTGAGCTGAAAAGGGTACCTTTTCACTCCTTCCATTCTCCTTCTGTAATCGTCAATCTTGAAGTTATTTCTCCTTTTTGTTTTTTTGAACCTTGTCAAAATTTGCAGGTACAAAAGCTTAAAGAGAAATTCCGCTACATTCACGAGCAACTTAATTCTCAGCAGGCCATGTTTGGACAGTAGCTATCATCAGTTTGTTGATGCTCCTACCTGAAGAATATTAAATGCAAGAGTAATATTCTGTAATTATGCCTTGTCTACGCATGCTTCCCTTTATTATATTGAAAGAAGAATGCCAAACATGAAACCTGTACATGAATTATTTGAAACTTTTGTTGTGATTCCCTTGTGATGGTTGTTAAATTAACCAGAACTAAGCCAGGTAATTGCTTGAATTATGCTCTTCAGTTGTTAAATTAACCAGAACATTTGTTTTGTTTTGTACTAAGGTTGTTGGTGAGTTGTCTAGCTAACTGTGCTAAAGCAAATTATGCCATTCGCTAGTAGTGCAGTGCCGTACATATTTGTTCAGACCCAAACTACGCATTCACTAAGTTCAGTGAGTTGGTTGGTGACCTTTGTAGTTCAGATGTAATAATTTCCGAGACAATGAGCTCATGTATGAAGTTGGTCCTTCTGTCATGTTGTTACATACAGTATTTTTCACTTACCATTGTCGTTACTTTTATTTTAAAGGCATAATACATCAATACCCTTTGAATTTGGCTGTGTTTTTTCCGTGCATACTGTCACTAATTGTCTTAGTTACTCCTGTATGAACTTGGTAATTTGATAACTTGATGTTACATGAAATGTAGCTACAACCTCTTTTAATATACATTGCATATTTTACCCAATTATGCTCCTTTTTATTTCTTCTTTAAATGTAATGATTATTTATTCTTTTATCGGGCAAAAACTTGGTTGGATCGGAATTCCATTATTATTAGCCACACAAAAAATCATCCTGTGGCGAATATAGAGTTGACAATATGGGTCAGGCAAAGAGGAATTACGATATTTTTATTTACTTAACAAGGAAAAACTTCTTGTAGGTGTAAGGGAAATCTACGTACTAGTATTTATTATCATCCATCGAGTCGTAACCAAGAGTCTTTTCTGGACTAGCAAATTGAAATGGATTCAGATAAGGATTCGACGGTTCTTACTTTATCGTTGGTTAATTCAGTCATCAATTGGTCGTTAGTTAGTATGGGAACTACTCCCACAATGATTGATTATGTTAAATGAATGGGATCTGATCACCTATGAAAAGGAAAAAAAACACCATATAAATATAACTATATCACGAAAAATATGCACCAGTTTTGTAAGACCATATCCTAAGAATCAAGTGATACTTTTCTCGTAAAAAAGGAAATTAACCTAAGGACTGATTTATAGATGTAGATTCCTAATATTGCTCCCATTGGAGATCCATGACACGTGGACGGCATAAAAGCTGGCTAAGGGTGATATAGTGTGATGATGACCCACATTATCAAGTTTCTATTTTATGGACCAAAAGGGGAAAAAAGCAATCCCCATTTGCGTGTAATAAAAATTGAGTAAGTATTTGCACCTCTTAATATTTAATGAGACGTTAAAGAGTTTTCAAATATAAGTCTATATGTCATGTCAAAATTATTGAGTTTAGATGAATCCTCATTGCTGATATGTTGCACCCGTTCCTAAATTAGTGAGCAAAATATTATTGCAAGAAGGCAAACGTGGTTCTCTAATTACTCTTAAACTAATTAGGAGTAAAAATATTATCGCAAGATAACATACTCATTAAAATTAATTTAGAAAAAGCTTTTGATCGATTGGAATGATCATTTATCCATTATTCCCTTAAAATTCTGAATTTTCCTATCAAAATTATTAATCTAATTATGCCTTGCATCACATCCTCCTCTGTTGCTATTGTGATTAATGGCACCAACTATTTTTTTTCTTCTTTCTAGGGGAATTTCATATATCTTCGTGTCATTGATAAGGAGATTTATTATTACCTTATATTTTTATTATTTGTGTTGAAATACTCTCTATGAAAATTTCTCAGGCTGTGCATGCTGAGGTTCGGAATGCTATAAAAATTTCTAAGTCGAGGCCTACAATTTCTCATCTTATATTTGCTGATTATTTAATTTTTTTAAGCTAAAGTAGACATTGTCAATACTAGTACCATTATGAAAAAAATTCATATGTGAAATCTATGTTTGGCGAAAATTTAATCATGGTAAATCAAGAATACATTTTTTCAAAAACGTGTGTTCTTCACTCCAAGAGGATGTTCCATTCTTAATATGAAAGTTTCTAAAGGCGTGAAAAAACACCTTAGTTTTCCTACCATAAATCTTCACCCTAAGAGCAGCGACTACCAATATCTCCTTGACCACATGAACTCTAGACTTAAAGATTAAAAAATAATTTATTGAACATTGTTGGATGTGCCACATTTATTAATTTTGTGATTGCCACTATTCCAAATTATGAGTGTGTTTGGTACAAACGAAAATATTTTCCATATCACTTATTTTTTCTTGTTTGGTTGGTGAGTGAAAAACTTTTTTTGCAAAATATTTTTTAGTGCTTGGTTAGAGAGTAGAATTTTTTTGTTAGAAAAATATTTTTTATGCTACTCTCCTCACCCCCCCTTCCCCCAAAACCCCATGTATCATGTGCTTTCCCCCATCCCCAACCAAAATACCCAACGTTTTCGGGACTTTATTTTCTTCAAGAATTTAATTATTCTTTTCAAAATTCATACAAACCCAAAGGAATTAATGTGTTACTTTACTTTTTTCACGCAAAAATGACGTTGAAATTTGTGGTCCATAACTGAAAAGAAAATGCTCTTTTTGGTTAAAAAATGTACTCTTTCTACAACATGAAAAGAAAGTACTCATGCTGTTGAAATGAAAGAAAATACTTTTTTACATCATATAAGAGAAAACACTCATGAGAAGGTTTGGGGGTGGGATGGATGCAGTGGGTTGGTGGAGATGGGGAATAGGGTGGAGAAGGTTGAAAAAGAATATGGAAAATATTTTTCCTTCATTTGATAGGGAAAACGGAGGAAAATGAGTTTATGAGAAAAATATTTTCCAAAATATTTAAGCCAACCAAACATGAGAAAATTGAAAAATCTTTGTACCAAACACACCCTTACATTTAAAAGAGTGTTTGCAAGGCCGACTATTTGTGTAAAGCTAGAACTGCTTGGAATATAATTAGTACTGGAGAATGTATCAACCTTTGATCTGATAACTGAATCTCTAGAACTATCATTCTTTAAAACCTTATCAAGGTCCTTTGAACACCTAGGTGTCACGATCAAAATCCTAACCTGTCGTGATGACGTCTATCTCAGTACTAAACAAGCCGACAACATCAATAACCCACGATTTCCTTTAAATAAAAAAAAGCGTAACGTTTAATACAATACCAAAAATCTAGCAATTTCCGATACAACACTCCCAAAACCTGGTATCACTGAGTACATGAGCATCTAATATGAGTACAAGTCTGAAAAATACGATCTATAATAGTCTGAGACCAAATACAGTAAACAAGGAGATAGAGAAGGAGAGATAAGGTCTGCGCAACACGGCAGCTACCTCAAAATCTGCTGAAAATCAACTGCGCGAAATGATCAACACCCGCTCTGTTCAGGAACACCTGGATCTGCACATGAAGTGCATGGTGTAGTATGAGTATAACCAACTCAGCAAGTAACAATAATAACTAAGGAACTGAAGATAATGACGAGCTACACAGTCATAGTTCACTTTCAGTAGTTCCAGCAAAGAATAGACATGCTTTCAAATCCGGTAGTTTAAGCCAAATCAATTTTATACAGTTCAATTTCAAGTAATACGGATATAAATTCTTTCAGAGATTTCACAACAATGACAAATAGTAACCAAGTGCAACAACAAATGCAAAGCAAGTATAGCCTCTCAGGCAACAGTCATTCAACTTATCACAACAACTCAACCACTTGGCTCTCAGCCCTCAGCACTCACACTCCATGGGTACCCGTGCTCATTGGGGGTGTGTACAGACTCCGGAGGGGCTCCTACAGCCCAAGCGCCATAATCTGCACGGCCAACTCACGTGCTGTACGAACAACTCACGTGCTATAATATCCTGCACGGACAACTCACATGCCATAATATCCTTACCTCACTGACAGACCCTCGGCCTTACTCAGTCCTCAACCTCTCAAGTCTCTCGGGCTCTCAGGAATCACAAAGATCAACCCAAACAAATAAAACATAGTATATCAACAAATATCCAGAAAGACTGAGGTATAATACTCAAGAAAAATTACGACTGAGTACAAGACAACAATTAGCAAATAATTCAACAAGTACGCGACCTCTACGGGTCTCAACAGTATTATAACATAACATAAGCATGATTTCTAACATGATTTATAGTCAAATTTCTTCAACGCATAGAGATCATATAGCTAACAATAAATTATTCAACTTTATAGTTTTTCGGAACGGACCAAGTCACAATCCCCTCGGTGCACGCCCACACGCCCATCACCTAGCATGTGCGCCACCTCCAAAATAATCACATGATACCAAATTCGGGGTTTCATACCCTCAGGACCAGATTTATAATTGTTACTTACCTCAACTCGTGTACTTGTTTAATTCGCTATGCCCTTGCCACGAGAATTGGTCTCCGAAAGTCTCGTATCTAGCCACAATTAATTTGATTCAGTCAATACAAATTATTGTAATTAATTCCATAAGAAAATACTAATTTTTTCAATAAAATCCGAAATTAACTCAAAAATCGCCCATAGGGACCACGTATCGGAACCCGACAAAAGTTACAGAATATGAACGTCCATCCAACCACGAGTCCAACCATATAAATTTCACTAAAATCAGACATCAACTCGACCCTCAAATCTTCAATTAAAATCTATGAAGATTTCTACCATTTTCAACCCAATCCTTACTCATTTGAACTTAACAATCCTGCCACAACCTTATTGGTATGTATACATAATACTCTTACACCCAAGAATCATACTATTAATTATCCATCTTTACTCCAAACTCGGAATTGAAGAATTGAGGAAAGAAATTCTTACCTCTTTGAAGCCCTAGCAATATCCTTGTGAAATCTTCAAACCTTTAACAAGAATTGATGGACAAATGACTAAGTCTTCACTTTCTCTCTCTAAATTGCTCTCACTTCTCTCTAAAATATCAGATTTTGGCTAAAAAATGAGTTTCAAGAGCTATAAATCGAAGTTGGGTCGGGTAAAAAATTAGAAAGAATGGAAGCTCCGACGCAGTTATGCGATCGCATAACAGGTATGCGATCCGTATATCCGTCGCATAATTTGGCCTCCAAAGCTGGGCGTTACTGACCCGGTCTGCGGTCATTATGCGGCCCGCATACTTGTAATACACC